AGCCATTTAAATCCTATTTAAAACTCCAAACTCTTTCCTAATGCTCTATAATTCAAAACCACGGCTCAAAGGGTCTAGTTTCCTCCTAATTGTCCCTAGAATCGATCCCAACCGTTGATCAAAAGCATTGGACTTTAAATAGAGAGAAATTAGGGTTTGGAGGGACCTTTTTCACTCATACTCTCTCTAGACCGCCTCAACACTTGAAATTTCGTGTGAGAGCTCCAGAGAGATCCCTCCCCCTTTTCCAAGAAAATCCTGCCGCCAAACCCTCGTCGGCGGTGAGATCTCTGGCCAACAGAATCCTCAAAAGATCTAATGCTCCTTCCCATCGATCGAGGCTATTTCGGAGCTTGAGTTCAAGATGGAAATTGTACAAGGATAGTCTGCAAGCTCAACCATACAAAGATCTGCTAAATCCACCATGTGGATTGAGGTAAAATCAAAATCCTAGTCTAGAGCACTTAGATTTAAATATCTTCCTATAGGACGCGTTTTAGAACTCGAATTTGATCCACCATGAATGCTCTTCACTCCTATAACCTAAGTTTAAAATTTCATCTAACTTGGTCCCCCGATTAAGAAAAAACATCAAAAAATGAATTAGGGCTTCGGTTCAGACGTGCTAATGCCTAGGAGCGATTCAGATCGTTGATATTTCGATCAACGGTCATGATCCAGCCGTTCCGCGGCCTGGATCAAGCTGCAGTCTGGGACTCCGCCAACAGTCGGAGAAATTTTTCCGAACGTCTCATCCCGTACACAAGAAAAAACTGATTGGCCTCTGAACACCGTCCATGTTGCCACAGAGTAATTTCTTTTCCTGCGGTCCACAAGTGCATCCGGTTTTATTTATTATTATTAATATTATTATTATTATTATATTATTATTATTATATTATTATTATTATTATTATTACTTTCTTTGATTATTAATTTAAAAACTATTTTTGCTATTATTATCATTTTTTTAAAGGATATTACCATTATTATTTTAATAAATGGCATTAAATTTAAGTAACTTTATTATCTTTAATTTTATTTCATTCCTTAATCATTTTTAAATTTTACTTATTTCAAAATTAATTTAAAAATACCTTTTATTGCATTTAAATTTCAAAAACTCATATGTTTTCATCTTAAATTGAATTTTGGCCTATAATTCCTCATTCTTTTTAAAAAAATGTGTATTTTATTTTAAAATTATTTTCAAAATTTGTTCTCGCTATACTGACAGATTTCTATCTTATACTCATATTTGGCTATTTTACTATTATTTAAATAATTAATATCCTAATTATTTTGAAATTAAAAATTATTTTCAAATCATTTTGAAACTTCATTAGGGTGGTTAGTGGATCTCTCCTATAGGTACTTATTACAAATTGATTTATTTTGAATTACTTTATTTTTAAAAATCTATATACTCATAAGTATTCTTTAAATCTTTTTAAAATTACTTATATTTAAATCTTAATTTTGCGAGATCCACTTCATGAAATTTTAAATATATGTTATATGCATGAAGAGCAATCATGGGGGAGTAAATTAGTGGATGATTGAGTCCGAATTATTCATTAATCACCTCATTTAGCATACTTACTTTTCTTTTATTGTAGTTTGCATGTGTAAGATGAACGAGCACTTAGTTTAGACTCTCATAGATCTAAGAACATGACGTGTTTACTGCTTTTATGTATTCCCATGCATTGTTATCTTGAGGGTTATTCAAAACACAGTTTAAACCTTTATAACGTAGCGACACCCTAAGGACAATAATTAATGACCCGTCTAACGAACTTAAAAAATTTCTATGAGCTAGGATAGATCACCGATTGACATGAAAATTTTAAAACTTAAACCTAGTTACATTTAAAACCTCTCAAAATTTTTTATGAATTTTTAGGAGCTTTTAGACCCATTAATTAACCGACCCTAATTTACACATTAAATAGGGCCCGGTACCTTCTAAAAATTATAATAAATCCATTTTAACTCAGAAAAATACCCATATTATCTTGAATTATTCAAAATCTAATCTTTAATCTTAGATAAATAGTGCTCCTAAGTATGACCTAAATCTGATCCTTAATTTCAACATTAATCAAAATAACCTTTTTTCTCCTAATAAATTATTAAAAATCCCAAATTTTCTTCAAACACTTGGGAACACCTTTTCAGGTCGTTTGTAACTTTTGGGGGTGGTTCCAATTAGTTTGGAGCTGATTTGGATCAAAACTATAAAATCACCCCTTAATTGGATAATTTAGATAATTCCCTTAAATACCCTAACTTTGAAAATTCATAACTAATTCTACAAAATTCTAAATTATGCAAACTCAATTATATTCAACTCCAATTAGGCTCTAGTATTTATTAAAAATATTAGAATTTTAGAAACTAACTTAAATATAAAATTCAACTTTCCGGTCAACCCAGCCTATAGTCTAGGGCCCGAAACTTCCAAAATTCACAACTTTGCATAGGAAACTCCAAATCCAGCAAACTACATGTCTAACTACTCAACTTAAGGTCTAATATTTACCTAAACTATTAAGAACCCTAAACCTAACCTATTTTCTATAGTGACCTTTTAGACCCCCCTCATCATAGTACACCTAGGAGGACCCGGGACTTTTCAAAATTGGCTAATACAATTTAAACTATAAATATCTATATCCTAAGCATTTAAAAGTGATCGACAAACTAAATTAATTGAAATTGATCATAATCCACTAATATTTGAACTTTAATTAAAGTTTCTTTTTCTAACCTTCAACAAACCTGAACTCTAGGCAACTTTTATTAATCATCTTACATAGGACCTATCCAAAGCCACACAAATCTTACACACACATAGAATTTTTTGCTTGGGCACCACTTCTAGATCTAGGCTAGGACGGTGTTTCCTTTTCTGTTGTGTATCGGGTTTTCCAAGATTTCATTGCATGTTGTGATGAAATTATTGTGTTTGCTTACTTTAATGCACTATGTGAAATTGATGTGATAGGTGATAGATTTACCCCTAGGTTAGAGATGAGATATATATTATTTTTCTTGCAGGTGGCCAAGCTCAAGCAAAGCTAAATAAAAGGGGGCGGGGGCAAAATGTCATGATTTCTAATGATATTTTGTGCAGGTGCTTGCTCAGCTTCCCTAAATAAATAAAGGTTAATATCATTATATAATAAATGCTATAGGTGCTTCATAAGTTGCATTAGCCCTCAATGATTAAGAGCATGGCCAAGCAATGACTATGATATGCATTTTACTTTCAATATTACTACTTGGGATTTCTTTTTATTAGGATAACATTGCAGGTGATTTTAGATTTATTACCTTTCATTAATGTAATAATTATAATATTGGTGAGAGTTATGAAAATGAATTTTGTGTGGGATATTCTTATCTAACTTAGATTCCAAAAAAAGAATACATCCTCAAAGGGGAGAGTCTTCTTCCATTTAGAAGATTGAGTTTGGATGGCTTAGATATCCCAAGAGAAAAGGGAACACCCCTTTCAGGGAAATTATCTCTTTGTTTGGATATTCAAGCCACGACGAATCCAAGGAGTCCAAGGAGGAGAGATCCAAGGAGTTCAAGGAGGAGAGTTTCAAGGAATTCAAGGAGAACAAATCTGAAGAAGATCGATGAGCTGAAGATTTGAAGACCCAAATATCTCACTCAAAGTTATTTGCGTCAGTCCTAGGCTTAGAAATCCAGATTATTGGCAGTGGTGCCCATCCACTTTAATTTTTATAGACCCTGGTTTGTAATTAAGGGGTAGTTGGGCTATGGACATTTATTTAATTAGTTTGATTGTTTTTTATGTGTTTATTTATGATATGTGCCTCTAGGGTTTCATGTTTTTATTAGTTTATTGGCGATTTGCATGCCGCATTTGATTTAGTGTCGATTTCGTTAGGCTCTTTAAGGACTACAAAGTTTTTTTACTCATAACAAGAATTTAATATTTGAGGTTTAAATAATTTAGAAACTTAATGAACCTATGGAACTGCTAG